AGGGCTTTGACACTTGCCAGTGCACAGACTAAAAATCTTGGTTGCAAATAGACATACCCCTTGCAGGTTCAACATTCTACCTTAATCCCTATGGCAAGAAACACAGGGTATTATAGCCTGCACACCACCCCAAGACCTTGGGCAGAGCTGAGAGGAATTACATCAAGCTGCAGTTGGAATCCACTAACTCTCCAGGACAGACTCCAACCTTGCAAGATCTAGAGAGAAGCACTTCTAAGCATCTTAGCTGGGAGGAATATTTTGCTAATTTTCAGTTTTTTCTTCATCTATTTTTATTATTAATAGTATTGTCATCATCATTTCTTTATTCTTATTACTCTCCTCTTATTTTTATTTTTTAATGTTTTTCTCTTTTTTCTTTTTTTCCTTTTTTTTTTATTCTCCTGGTGCTGGGGATTGAACATCAGGCCACGCACATATTGGACAGGTGCTCTGTTTCTGAGTTATACTCCTAACTCAGCAGGGAAGAATTAAATACAGCTTTGGCCACCAAGTTTCAAGTCCTGTTAAAACCCTGGTGAACATTTCTACTTAAAGCTCCTAGCAGTTGACCTGTCCTCAGACAGGCACTGATAGAGGGAGGTTGGGGCCTAGCTCCTGAGTAGATACAGCTACAGCCACAGTAGTGCTATGGAAATCACACTAGCAAAAGACCAACCATCACTCACAGGATTGGAGAACTCAGGTTTATTCACACACATGGATGAACTAGTGCTCTAAATTTTTGGGCCCCTGAACTGGAATTAAGGAGATCTTAAAGGAAATTTGACATCATTCCTTAACCATTACAATATTGATGGGTTAGAATTCTTTTTTAAAATTTTTTTATTGGTTGTTCAAAACATTACAAAGCTTTTGACATATCATATTTCATACATTATATTCAAGTGGGTTATGAACTCCCATTTTTACCCCAAATACAGATTGCAGAATCACATCGGTTACACATCCACATTTTTACATAATGCCATATCAGTAACTGTAGAATTCTTGACCTTAATGACCAAGGACCATTTTTTTCTAGGCAATAATTTTTTAATTTATTTTTTATTAGTTCTAATCAGTTATACATGACAGAAGAAAGCTTTTCAACTCATTATACACAAATGGAGCACAACTTTTCATTTCTCTGGTTGTGTATGATGTAGAGTCGCACCCACATGTACAATCATACATGTGCCTAGGGTAAAAATGTTCATCTCATTCCACCATCTTTCCTACCTCCATGTCCCCTTTGCCCATTCTCCCCATTCTCCACACCCACACCCATTATGGATCAGCATCCACTTATCAGAGAGAACATTCAGTCTTTGGTTTTTTAGAATTGGCTTATTTCACTTAGCATGATATTCTCCAACTCCATCCATTTACCTGCAAATGCCATAATTTTATTCTCTTTTAATGCTGAGGAATATTCTATTGTGTATATATACCACAGTTTCTTTATTCATTCATCTATGGAAGGGTACCTAGGTTGGTTCCACAGTTTAGCTATTATGGATTGTGCAGCTATAAACATTGTAGTGGCTGTGTCACTGTAGCATGCTGTTTTTAAGTCCCTTGGGTATAGACAAAGGAATAAGATAGCTCAGTCAAATTGTGGTTCCATTCCAAGTTTTTTAAGGAATCCCCATACTGCTTTCCAGATTGGTTGCAACAATTTGCAGTCCCACCAGCAATGTATAAATGTGCCTTTCCCCCCACATCCTGACCAACACTTATTGTTGTTTGTATTCTTGATAACTGCTATTCTGACTGGCATGATATGAAATCTTAGAGTAATTTTGATTTGCATTTCTCTAATTACTAGAGATGCTAAACATTTTTTCATATATTTGATGTTCAAATGTATATCTTTTTCTGAGAAAAGATGTACAACAGATATGTCTGTTCAGTTTCTTAGTCCATTTATTGATTGGGTTGTTTGGTTTTTTTGGTGTTGTTTTTTTAGTTCTTTATATATCCTAGAAATTAGTGCTCTATCTGATGTGCGTATGGCAAAAATTTGCTCCCAAAATGTAGGCTCTCTCTTCACCTCATTGATTGTTTCTTTTGCTGAGAAGAAGCTTTTTAGTTTGAATCCAACCCATTAATTGAATCTTGATTTTATTTTTTGCACTTTAGGAGTCTTGTTAAGGAAGTTGGTGTTTAATCAGACATGATGAAGATTTGGGCCTACTTTTTCCTCTATTAGGCAAAGGATCTCTGGACTAATTCCTAGGTCCTTGATCCACTTTGAATTGAGTTTTGTACATGGTGAGAGATAGGGGTTTAGATTCATTTTGCTGCATATGGATTTCAAGTTTTCCCAGCACCATTTATTGGAGATGCTATCTTTTCTCCAATGTATATTTTGGTGCCTTTGTCTAGTACGAGATAACTATATTTATGTGGGTTTGTCTCTGTGTCTTCTATTCTCTACCATTGGTCTACAAGTCTATTTTGGTGCCAATATCATGCCGTTTTTGTTACTGTAGCTTTGTAGTATAGTTTAAGTTCTGGTATTTTGATGCCTCCTACTTCACTGTTCTTTCTAAGGATTTCTTTGGCTATTCTAGGTCTCTCATTTTTCCAAATGAATCTCATGATTGCTTTTTCTATTTCTATAAGAAATGACATTGTATTCAACAGCATTGAATCTGAGCTTTGGGAGTATGGTCATTTTGACAATATTAATTCTGCCTATTCAAGAGTTTGTGAGATCTTTCCATCTTCTAAGCTCTTCTTCTATTTGTTTTTTTAGTGTTCTGTAGTTATCGTGGTAGAAGTCTTTCACCTAATTTGTTAAATTGATTCCCAAGTATTGTTTTTAAGGCTATTGTGAATGGGGTAGTTTTCCTAATTTCTTTTTCAGAGGATTCATCACTGATGCATAGAAATAAATTTGATTTATGGGTATTTATTTTATATCCTGCTACTTTGCTGAGTTCATTTGTTGATTCTAGAAGTTTTCTGGTGGAGTTTTTTTATTTTTTTTTAATCCTCTAAGTATAGAATCATGTTATCAGCAGATAATGATACTGTGAGTTCTTCTTTTCCAGTCCGTATCCCCTGTCTGTATCCCTTTAATTTCTTTTGTCTGTCTAATTGCTCTGGCTAGAATTTCAAGGACTGTTGAATATAAATGGTGAAAGAGGGCATTTCTGTCTTATTCCAGTTTTTAAAGGAAATGCTCTCAATTTTTCTCCACTTAGAATGATGTTGGCCTTGGGTTTAGCACAGATAGATTAAATAATATGCTATTGAATGATTCATGGGTTACAGAAGACATCAGAGAGGAGATAAAAAAAATTCTTAGGGGTAAATGAGAACTCTGATACAGCTCATCAAAATCTCTGGAACACTGTGAAGGCAGTGCTAAGAGGAAGATTCATTGCATTGAGTTCATAGAAAGTCAACAAATAAATGACCTGACACTACATCTCAAAGCCCTAGAAAAAGAAGAAGAAACCAACACCAAAAGTAGTAAAAGACAGGAAATAATTAAAATCTGGGTAGAAATCAATGAAATTGAAACAAAAGAAACAATTCAAAAAACTGACAAAAGAAAAAGCTGGTTCTTTGAAATAAATAAATAAAATTGACAAACCCTTAGTCACCCTTATGAAAAGAAGGAGAAAGAACTCAAATTACTAAAATTCATGATGAAAAAGGAAATATCGTGACAGACACTATTGAAATACAGAAGACAATTTGAAACTATTTTGAAAATCTATACTCCAGTAAAATAGAAAACCTCAAAGACACTGACAAATTTCTAGAGGCATATTATCCACCCAAACTGAGTCAGAAGGACATACAAAATTTAAGCAAATCGATTTCAAGCAAAGAAATAGAAGATGCCATCAATAGCCTACCAACCAAGAAAAGCCCGGGACCAGACAGAGTCACAGCTGAGTTCTATAAGACCTACAAAGAAGAATTAATACCAATCCTCCTCAAATTATTCCATGAAAGAGAAAAGGAGTGATCCTTTCTACACTCATTCTATGAAGCTGGTATCATCCTGATACCAAAACCAGGCAGAGACACAACAAGGAAAGAAAATTTCAGACCAATATCCCTGATGAACATAGACGCAAAAATTCTCAATAACATTCTGGAAAATTGCATATAAAATCATATTTACAAAAATAGTGCACCGTGATCAAGTGGGGCTCCTTCCAGGGATGCAAGGTCGGGTCAACATATGGAAATCAATAAATGTAATACATCAATAGACTTAAAAATAAGAAAACTGGTTTGGCAGTTCCTTTAAAAAGTTAAAGATAAATTGACTATATGACCCTGTGATTTTATGCCTAGGTATCTACCCAAGAGAAATAAAGACATATCGTTACAACAACACATCTATGTAAATATTCATAGCAACTTTCTCCAGAACAGTTCAAAATGTAGAAACACTCAACATTGTCATCAACTAAAAAATAAGAAAACAAATGTGGTGTACCCATATAATTGATACTGTTCAGCACATAAAGGGAATGAAATACTAATACAGGCTACAACATAGGTGAATCCCCAAAACACTTTATGCTAAATAAAAAAGCCAGGTATAAAAGACTGCATATTATATGAGTTCATTCATCTGATGTCCAGAAAAAAACAAATCTTTAGAGTCAGTTAGGGGTTGGCTAGAGCTGGGGGGGGGGTGGGGAGGTAAAAATAAGGAGGAGTATCTGGGGGGTATAAGAGATCTTTTAGAGGATAAGAGAATTGTCCCCTAACAAGATTATGAGGATGGTTACACAAGTCCACATTTTACCAAAAATAATAGATTGTATACTTAAAACAGGTGTTATGGCATGTAAATGATACTTTTTTTAAAAAAAAAAGATGTTTAAAAGTAAAAGAAAGGAAAATTATGCCATGGGTAACTAAGAAGAGCTAATAAAAAAATTAATAAAAGAAAGGTCATACTGTGATCCTTTTGGCCTTGCCTTTCACAATTTCATTAGGGTTCATATTTATTGATTCCTTTCAGAGTCTAAATGCTCTTTTGGTTGAAGGCAACTCATTTCATCCAGAGAGATTCTAGATGAAATCAACCAGCCTCCAACACTCCCAAGAGCTGAAGGTGATAGGAGATCTCTAAGGAACACTTCAGTGTCCACTACAACATACAAAGGCATAAAATGCAACTGCATGGCTCAGAGAGTCCCTGACTCCGGTCTCAGCAAGAACAGAGGCCTTTAGCTAGTGCTGAAAACTTCAGAAAACAAGTTGCTACACAATGAATAGGGTCAACTCTCCTAAGAAAGTGTATTTGAAATATTGTCAGTGAGGTCCCAGGTGGGAAGAGGAGAACATCTGTGATACAGAGGGATTGTCTATTTAAATATCTATCCAGGAATACTGACATCTTAGGGGGGTTAAGTGATGGGTCAAGTTCACTCACTTATGGACCATTACTCCCAACAATTGCAAAAAACATTCATTTAAGGTCCATATGTCATGTTCACAATATAAAACATGTATATATAAGGCCATAGGCAAGTCTCAATAAATATTGCAGAATCATACAAAGAATATACTCTGGCTACAAAGTTATTAAACTAAAAATCAATGATAATAAGCCTTATAGAAAAAAAGCCTCACTTTTAGCAAATGGGTGACATATTTCTGAATGACACTTGGGTAAAGAAAAGAAATATGAAGGAAATTGGAAGATACCTGTATCTAAATGACGATTAAAACCGCAATACTTCAAAATTTTGGATGCAGTTAGCACAGGGTGAGTTTAATTAAATTGTTACAGAGAAAAATGAAATGTTTACAGTTGAAGAGACAAAATAGCTAAAATCAGTTAATATCATTTATCTTAGCTTTTACCATAAGAACTTTGAAAAAGAATAATAAATTAAGCCCAAATTGAATAAATAAAAGCAAATAATAAAAATAAAAGAAATCAATAAAATGTAACAACTGACAAACAATAGAAAAAAAGTCAAGTCAATTCTGCCCTCTCTCACAAAACTTAATTTCAGATGGATTGTCTATTTAAATATCTATCCAGGAACACTGACATCTTAGAAGAAGAAAATACCAAACTGTGGAAATAAAACGAATTCTAAGGAGATAAAATTCTAAAAGTAGATGCCTTTAGGGTATCTACAGGAGTAGACTGGAGGAAGGAGTCACTTTTGGAAAGAGTCAAGAAGAACTTTCTGGGGTAACAGAAATGTTTCATATATTTTTTGGGGTGGTACTTACACGGGTACTTACAAGTGTCTAAGGTTAACCAAAAAAAAAAAAAACTAAAATCTGAGCATTTTAATGTCCATGAGTTATAACTAAATGTTTAAAAATGGAGGAAACACAGTATCTAGAGTACCTTCTGGCAGTGACGTTTGGGCACCTCTGGGGCATAGGCTTTAAAAGCATTCATAGCACCTTCAGTTCAGGAATTTTCTGCAAGTGGTTTTATAGCCAAAATGTGGAGTGAGTGCAAACATCCACGTTGAGATCCACAGCGTCACACAACTACAAAACCCCACTCTTGGGATGTGAGCCATAAATTTTAAATGGCTGCATGGCTTCCTTTTAAAGATGCTCTCCCCATAGGAAATCACAGCTCTTTTGGGAGAAGGAAATTGAAGTTTTGAATATATTTGGTGGGAAAGGAAGTCACCTGACCTATGACTTGCTGATTGAAGCTACCACCATTAAAATTTTCTAAAGTTTGCAAGACGGCAGCAACATCTCAAACTATGTGAGAGAGGAGACTAAGGGCTGATGTGGATTTTCCTTCCAGATGTATTTATTGAACAAGACCAAATCATATATTTTACTTTGAAATTTCTCCTTTTCTAATTTAAGTTCATAGATTGGGAATAACAGACAGTTTGTATGAACAAGTGTCTGACTAAGACTAAAATACAGACTCTTAATCACACTGTGGCCTTGAAGCTATTTTCTTTTCCTGATCTTGGAAGGAATAAGGGATGAAACACCAAGGCCATGCCTTGGGGGAGGAGGCATCAGAGAGGAGAGCAAGCAATGAAAGTGAAGCAAGAGTTCAGGTGATTGGCTGATCTGGAAAGCACAACATAAAAAGCTCCAGTCCTGCCCTTGGAGAAGGAGGAGACCAGGACCAAGGCTCTTTCATCGGTCTTTTAACAATCTAATATGTTAGAACTGTTCATGTTCTTTCTGCTACTCCTAGTGGTAGTGGTGGAGATGGGGGGGATATGGGAGCTTTCGACAATAGAGTGGAGTAAATATATTGTGTTTCTGTACCCCTGTACTCATGGGACTTCTCTTTTTAGCCTCTTCAGGGTCACCCTGTTGTACACCTGTCCCCTACTGTGTACTGCTTCCTGCATTGGCCATGACTGGGTGGAGCTGCCTGGTGACAGGAGCCGGAGGATTTCTGGGCCAGAGGATCATCAGCTTGTTGGTGCAGGAGAAGGAACTGCAGGAGGTCAGGGCCCTGGACAAGACCTTCAGACCAGAAATCAAGGAGAAATTGTCTAGTAAGTATGCTGGATGCTTGAAAGTCTGTCTCCGTTATGAATCCTGAGTATATGTGTGTGTGTGTGTGTGTGTGTGTGTTGGGGGAGTGTGTGTTGAAGGCCTATTGTCCAGCAAATGAAGGAAATAGGGAGCCATAAGTCTCCACCTATGTCTGAATATCCAGAGTAGTCACAGGTGCTATTGCATAAGGACGCTGCGAAACTCTCTGGAGACTGGATTCTGACAAGAACCAGAAGTAGATAAATGGCCATAAGCAGCCAATGGGCTTCTAGGACACATCAGTTCTCTCTGCCTACAGCTCTTTAATGTGCTGAAGGTTTGGGACTTCAGAATTGGCGTGCAGCATCTGAAAAGGGCCATTCTGAGGGAGACCTTAAAATAGGGTACTGCCCCCTTGATTAACTGGGGTTTTTGTGTTTTGCTTTCATTTGTTCTGCTTTTTAAGAGAATGCCTCAGTATCTTCTGTGAGGTGAATGAAAAGGAAGGGAAGGTAAAGCTGACTAAGGATGCATGTGTGTGCAGGAAAGAGAGACAGATAACAGAGAAAGATAACAGAGACAGAGAGAACAGTAGTGGGTAGCAGTAGCCAGAGTAAACATGACAGGCAAGACAAAACCAGACCTGCCTCATCTGAATTCCTCTTACTCACCAATCCTCTCTGCTCTTCATTCTCTCAAAAAGGTGACTGCATATTTGATATAGCAACATATTATTCTTTGCCAAAAGTGCTACCCCAGTGCATTTCCAACCTGCTTAAACCCAGATCCTCAAAACAATCCTGTGGGGAGGTAGGAAAGAGGATTCACCCTTTCAGATAGTGAGGATATTAAAGTCCTAATAGGATGGGAGATTGATCTGAGGTTACTTCATTATTGGAAATCAGAACTTTGTCTAAAGTCTTATTCCTGAACTTTGTCTAAAGTCCATCACCTGGCCCTGGACTGACTCCTGGCACAGTAAGTCCTGAGTCTTTCATTGGCCCCTGTGTATTCCAAAGAGTTGCCTTCCTACACATACAATTTGGAGGCACTGGGTGTCTACCCACAGGCACAGGTTCTCAAATGAACCAGTCCTGCACACAGAGGACCCAGGACAACACTCTGGAACCACAATGATCACTGTACTATTTTCTGCTCCTCTGACTGCTTCCAAAGTTCCATCTTTCTCTCCTACCTGCTTCAGTGTGTTCTCAAACAAATACTGACACGTGACCAATACTTACTATAAGCCTGATGCTTCAACAGTAATTGCAATCTAATGTATCACAGCAGGAGAGGGCAATGTTCAGCCTAGAGGAATAGCTTCCTAATGGTAACAGGTCAGGGGTACCAGTGGAGAATCCTTACAGTTTTTTTTCTCTGCCAGGTACAGTGTTGGCAGTATTAACTAATCATCTCTTCATGAGATCACCAGAAGTTAGATAATGGTGTTATCCTTATTTTACAGATGAGGAAAGAAAGGCTAATTAACTTGCCCAAGGCCCCACAGCTAGAGTAAGACATTGAGGGGTTTGATCTCAGGAGGTCTGGTTGCAACATCTGAGCTCTTATAGATGGATTAGTCCAATCATTTCCCTCTGGGCCTCCCTCCAATCTGATTCAACCAGAAAAGCAAATACTTATTCCATATAAATAAAACACGGGCCAAGTCCTCAGTGTCTTGGACAAGGCAGGAGCTATGGCGCCACCTTAAAGCACCCAAAATGTCCTTTCCTGGATCTTAGGTGCCTCAGTGCTGGCAGATAAAGGTCAATTCTCCTCAGAGCTCTGGGCTTCACCACCTTATCCCATCACTTTCTCTGAGACAGTTCCTCTGAAGGCAGCAGCAAAGGAGATTCAGAGGAAGGAGCAATGCCACTCTCAGGACAAACCTACCTCCTTGCCATTCCCTGTCCTGACCTCCTTCACTGTAGTGCCTTCCTGGAAGACACAAAGGTCTGCAGAGGATTAAAAAGGATAAGCAATTCTTGCAATCAGAACTCCTATCTGATGGGATAACTAAGAAATAAAAATGTAAGCAAACTGCAAATTTATGTATAAGAAATCAAGTGAAGGGTAGCAAAGTTTTGACAGCCTGACGGGCAGTATCATTCCTGAGGATCTCAGAGAAGCCTGAAGACATTGGTCTTGTATCCATTGCTCCTAGCTAGGTGGCTGTAGTGGAAGTGCCTTGGAGACTGATGCATTTTCAGGACTGATGTTTGCTTTTAATAATATCTCATATTCAATTAGAGATGTTCCATTAGATCTGTCATTGAAGCCCATCCTAACTTCCCTGTTAATGGCTCCAGTCTCCTAGTCACACAAGCATGAAACACTAAGGCTGATGTGATCTCTTCTTTTCTGCTCAGCCCAGACCCAGTGACAAACAGGACCTGTCAGGGGGAGGCCTGATACACCTTGCGGGTCTCCCTCCTCTGCTCCCACTGTTGGGACTTAGATCCTCCTCATCAGGTCTGGAGCAGAGACATACCTGTTAACCTGTTGCTTACCCTGATCTCTCTATCTCTTAAACCCCAGAGCTGTGCCTTTGACACGCTGAGGCCAAGGTTGGTTTGTATGCTGCCTACCCTCTGCCTCTGCTTCACCTTCAATCATTAGCTCTATGCTCCGATTTTGATTTCTGGATTGGAATAGAATTAAATAGTCCTTTTTTTCTTTCTGAGTAAATCTGCTATCCATTTTGATTTCCTTCCTTGCTTTTTCCTTGGAAGGTGTCTCCCACCAACACTCTCCCTGTCATCTATGATGGTACTGGAAGACACAGGTAACTGCTTTATCAGGAAACTTTCAAGCTCATTCAGAAAGCTTTCTAATCACCTACTTTGTGTTCCTACAGAGTTGCAGACAAAGACCAAGGTGACATTGGTGGAAGGCGACATTCTGGATGCCCAGTGCCTGAGGAGCGCCTGCCAGGGCATCTTGGTTGTCATCCACACAGCTGCTCTTATTGATATCTGGAATATCCATTCCAGACAGGCTATCATAGACGTCAATCTGAAAGGTAGAGTGACCTGGGTTGGTATGTGGCAGGTGAAAGATGAGGGTGGCAGTAAAGAATGAGGAGGGGTAGAGAAGCCCCCACCACCAAACTCCAACTGTGCTCTGGCCTAGGTGTCTTTGCTCATCAATCTCAGTTGACAGAGCCCAGGGCTATTATTTTTTCAGGATTTTACATGAGGAATCCAGGGCTGAGAAAGGACAAGGAACTTGGCCAAGGCCCCACAGGTAGACCCTAGAGAGAAGAAATTTAAATTCACACCTGTGCGGCTTCATCCAACTTGAACCTTGTCCTCCTGCTCCTTCATTCCAAAGTCACCTTGACTCTCATTTCAAGCTCTTGAGGTCCATTCACCCCCTGCCTCTCTGGGCCAGAAGAGACCTTGCAGGTGCCTCTTCCTTCATGCTATTAGCTTTTGTGTGAGGGACAATGAGAACATCCAAAAATTCCCACCTCAGGGAAGAATTCCTCTCCAGAGAACTAGCATAGCTGGCCCACAGAGGACAGAATGGTCAAGCATTTGCCATCCTATGATATTTCATTACCAATAATTGGATCCCATTTCCATAATCCTAACTCTTCTGCTCCCACTGGGTCTATACTTAATGTTGTAGCTCCTACACAAGTGCCCAAAGTAACTCCTCCTCAGACTCTCATCACTAAATGCTAGGTGGTTCTTCCTGAATTGCATTTCCAATCTACTCCAAATTGAGATAGGTTAGTTCAAGGAAGTCATATAATATCTGAGCTCTGGAGGACAGTCTTCCCTGCACTAGTGTCCTCAAGCCCCTGGCCCATCTGTCCTCTATGCCTTGACCTCAATTCACTCAGTGACTCCTTTTTTCAAAGCAACCCAGTGGTGCTTTCTGATCTCCAGCACTATCTAAAATGAAGCCTTTCCCAGTTTCTACATAGCTGCACCACTAACCATCCACATTGCAGGATGGTACTGTGAGTAACTAGATATTCATTTTCGGTCCCTATCTCTAAGGCCTTTGTTTATTCTAACAGAATACAAAATGAAAACAGCAGGATTATATGCATCAGTTTACCAAAATACTGTCACAGCTTTAAAAAATACATCATAATTATTGACTTTTCCCTCTGCTAGTAAACCAAGTCAAAATTTTCTAGATACTACATTAACAATTTTCAAATAAATGAGGTTGCCTTTCCAGAAAATCAAATTTTTGTAAAAGTTTTAAACGGAAAAACATAAAAATAAATAAATGCACATATAGGTAAACAAATGAAAATGATCCTTTGCTCAGGACATCACTTCCTTCTTCAAGAGAATGCATTCTACCTCTCCTCCAGGACTTGCAGATCTACACTGCTACAGGGATTCCAGACAACTCTAATATTATAGGTCTTCCCAACAGAAAGCTCATGCTTCTCGTCAGTTCCAACCAGGCTCAATAGTAAAGTCCAGTGTGGGACTGAAGAAAGCTAAGTAAAGGGAATGATTACTACCCCTACTGCTCATAACTAGGCAAACAGAATCACAGAAAGAGCTGGGAGTGAGCCTTTGAGGGAACACACGGTTGGGAACAGAGGCTGGGTCTCCATCACCTCCCCACAACTTGATAACCATTTACTTACGGACTCAAACGATGCTCTTGTGACAAAGTTTTTATTGACTTTCAACAAATGGGAAACATGGCAGCACTCTAATTTCCATCTAACAGTGCATGTCTTCTATAAACCACTGTGCACGAGTTAATGTAATGTGAAATTCCAGCTGTCCTTGAGAGTATGGATTCCTGAATTTTTAGATTTCAAAAGATTTATTTTTAATGAAATGATACACATGAAAATAATTCTTTAATGTCCAACAATAGAGTAGAAACCCTATGTCTTTTTCCAAAATCAAAGGACACACACATACACATACACACTCACACATACACAATCTATGAAACTCCAAAGCCTAGAAATCCTTTGTTATTAGAACCCAAATGTTAGCCTCCTATCCTTTGTGTATTCTTTTTATTTTTCCCTTTTGTGTGTGTGAGGTGTCATGGATTGAACCCAGGGCGTTGTACATGTGAGGCAGGCACTCTACCAACTGAGCTATGTCCCCAGCCTCCCTTTTTATATTCTTCCTATGGCTATAGCATGGCATTAGTCAGCACAGAAAAAAAATTGCACATAGATCTGTAGCAAACCCTCTTTTCTAGGAGGAGAATGAGATACATATAAATCTATGGTCATGGTGTTTTAGGGTTATTTCCTGATACTGACAACTTATTCCCCATATGCAGGTACCCAGCTCCTGTTGGATGCCTGCATCCAAGCTAGTGTGCCATTCTTCATCTACACCAGTTCAGTAGAAGTAGCAGGACCCAACTCCTACAAGGAGATCGTCCAGAATGGCCACGAGGAAGAGCATCATGAAACTATATGGATGGCTTCATACCCCTACAGCAAAAAGCTGGCTGAGAAGGCTGTGCTGGCAGCTAATGGGAGCACTCTGAAAAATGGGGACACCTTGTGGACTTGTTCCTTAAGGCCCATGTACATCTATGGGGAAGGAAGCCCTGTACTTTCTGGAATTGTGAATAGGGCCCTCAGGAACAATGGAGTCCTGGAAAATACAGGAAAGTTCTCTGTAGCTAACCCGGTCTACGTGGGCAACGTGGCCTGGGCACACATTCTGGCCTGCAGGGCTCTGAGGGACCCCAAGAAGGCCGTGAGCATCCGAGGACAGTTCTACTACATCTCAGATGACACACCCCACCAAAGCTATGATGAATTGAATTCCACCATGAGCAAAGCAGGTGGCGTCTGTCTTGATTCCAGGCAGGGCCCTCCTCTCTTTCTGATGTACTGGCTTGCCTTCCTGCTAGAGATAGTGAGCTTCTTGCTGAGTCCCATTCACCAGTATCAACCCCCATTTACCCGCCACCTGCTGACATTGTCAAATAGTGTATTCACCTTCTCCTACAAGAAAGCTCAACAAGATCTGGGGTATAAGCCCTTATATAGCTGGGAAGAAGCCAAAGAGAAAACCATGGGGTGGGTCACTTCCCTGATAGAGGAGCACAGGGAAACCATGAAGACCAAGTCTAAGTGATGTGGAGATGGCAGGGATATGGACATGGGTGCTGTCAGGAGCTATCTGTCAGGTTCTTACTCCTGGTTTCTTCCAGAAACTGAGAAGCCCAAGTCCAATAGCCTCCCTTTCACACAATGGCCAACTTAGTCTCTTCCTCAGAAAACTTCCCAGTTACTGGTCCAACCAAAAGCTTTCTGCCTTAATTTCTGAGGAAATTAAGCTGCTTTGCTTAACCTGCTGTTATCAGTTTCTGTTGCCAGTTTGGGACTGTTTGGGACATCTTATAACCTAGAGTTTTGTCTATTGATTCCATTATCTTGCTCCTAAGCTAAAGTGTTTCTTTTCTTTGGAAAACTCCTGTTCCTTCACAAACTCAATGAAAAGACCAATAAATGTTTAAAAACTAATCTGCAGGAGGTGTCTCTCTGTTGATACACACTTTTTTTTTTTAAACTTTCCCTTGCATTTCCAGTTATGGCCGCCTCTTGTTTAGAAAAGGAGAATAAACCATTGGCATATTGGTTTTGGGGCCTGGAGGAGGACTTGAGATTAATTTAACCTACAATGTTTCAGGCATGTACTAGACGGCTGACATTCCAGCCTCAGCAGATTCACTAGAAGGCAGGGATCCCAGTTCCCGTGTCACAATTGAGGCAACTTTGCTCACAGTCACTGGTTCATGGCTAGGCCCGTTCATCAGGGAGACTCCCTTGAAAGCTCCCATCTTGCCTCTGAATCCTGCAATTTGCACCGTGTTTGTCAGTGGGACAGCAGAGCTATGGAGCACAGGCTTACTTCCCTCTGGTAGAGTCACGGGTCCCTTGATTTACCTCCTTCCTTCCCAGCCCAGTGCAGGAGGATTTCTAGAACCAAGAGAATCCTTGAGGGGTACCTGGGAGGTCTTTATGCCTTCATAAATGGCCCTGGGCAAAAAAGATGAGACTGGAGGCTTCTAGCCTCCACCTCCAATGTCAGAGTCCCTGAACTTTCTAGAACACACCTGAACATGTGTGTGTTGGCCCTTCTGGATCTTCATAACCCTTTTTCAAACTTTCAACCCACATAATAAAGAAAAACCATGAATTCCTGGGAAATTAAAGAGAGTCGGTCCAAATCCCCTCTCAAAATTTACCTCTATATAGCCTATACACCCCGCAAAGTGGAATCACACTCTCTCTCAGTTCCAGATTTAACCGCATTTCCCTCCTTCTTCCTTCTCCCCTCTGCCTTTGGTCCCATCTTATATTACTTTATCCCTGTATATTCTTAGCCTCTTTCTGTTCCCTCCGTCTCTCCCTCTTGCCCTTCTCAATTTCCCTAAGGACAGGGGCCCAACTGAGACAAGTGCAGGGACTTAAATTACATAGGCATGAACCAGAGAACCCAAAGTCCAAAAGTCAGGTCACAAGGGAAACAACTGTCCCTGGTTACATCCTAGGCAAATGGGGAAGGAGCCTTCTCTCCTGATGGGCAGATCAGAGTCTTTGTGGGATTCCATTGCCTGCAGCTCTGGTTTCCTTCCTATCACCAATGAGAAAATTGAGGCCTGTTAGACGAAGTGACTTGCCTAAATACACCCAAATTATCAGTAGTAAAGCGGGCTGTGACCACCATCTCACCACTCTGCTGCCCAAGAACAGGTTGACACGCCTACACTTAGAAAGGGAAGAGTGTGAAGCAGTGTCTGCAGGGCTTGAGAAACAGAGACTTATGAGGAGAAGCTCAATGCCACCAAGAGCGAGCGGCTGGATTACATTACAGCAACTGCCACATCTCCTCCTATCACCTGTGCATGCTCCAGCCATACTAAGCTACCATCACTGGTCATGTCACCCACCTTACCTGAACAGTCCGGGAGCCAGAGCTATCCTATCTCCTCACATCTAACATCCAGCCACACACATAGTACACCTACGGAACAGACATGAGCAGAGCAATGGTGGCCAGCCTGGGGCCAGGGCTGCTGCCTCTGCTGCTGCTTCTACCCAGATTTATTCAAATGCAAATTTATTCAAACCAAACAGCTATTGTGACATTTTCAAGTAACTACTCACAAAGTACCTCTGCCACCCCCAATTCAATTAATGCTATCCCTTGTGATGATCTCTCTCTCTCTCTCTCTCTCTCTCTCTCTCTCTCTCTTTCACACACACACACACACACACACACACACACACACACACACACATCTCTTCTGTTGGAGACACAGGCCAAGGAACATCTCTACTTTCCCATTTTCTAAACCCAATCTTAATGGCAACTGTAGTTCCAGTTTGTCAAGGAAGAAGCAGGTCTGCATAAAATCTACCAATTCCACACCTGATTTTATTGGCACAGGAAATGTTGATAATTCCAAATTTGATTGATTTGAAGGACATATGAAGGATTTCACAGGTGATTAATGCTAATATTAGATCATCTGGAGTTTCACCTACAAGATAAAAAGATATAACATCCAAAATTGAATGAAATAAAGGATATAACATCAAAATTTCCTTGAATGAGGCTTAAGAATATAGACACTTAAAACTCTACCTTGAAAACAAGAATAGATTATATCTAGAGGTAAAGGATGGAATGCGGAATGGAGATTCAGTTTTCATTGGGTTCATGAAATCTATAAGGCCATAAAACAGGTGACCTAAAAAGCTTCCACAATTCTATTTATATGTACATTGGAAAGAATTTCCAGGTGTTACTGTAAATACTCAACATATTATTTCAGCAGTACTAATTTAAGGCAGATATTGTAAGGGTAAAAGAAATTGAAGTTAAAGCGTAAAAGTTAAAGGGTTAAAGACCGGGTGTTGTAAAAGTTTCTAAGCTGCAAGGTCTGAGTTAAAATGTAAAGGAGGTATTGTTAGGTTTCTATACTACCTGCAAAACCTGAAATTTCTGTAGCTGTTAAGACAATGCTTAGAACCGCCCAGTAAACATTTCCCCTGGCTGTTTGGTTATTTAATAACTGAAGGGCTCTGTGTAACTGCTCACGTAGTCCTCTAGGCCCTAAAACCAATCAGTTTGAATGTGTACCCCGTTTAGAAATGACCTATCACTCCAGCCTGACCTGTTCCCGCCAATGAATGAACTAATCATGTTTAGGAGTTGTTGTTCAATTTTCCCGCGCCTCATGATGATTTGTTCTGATGTATACAAAGCTCTTCGCCCTCCCCAAAAAGTGTACTTAAGCAGTGCTCAGCCCCTGCTCGGGGCTCTGGGCTGCTTTCCCTTCTTGAGTGGGCATGGAGCCCCAGCATGCTGGTTCAATAAATCCCCTTCTGCCAATTGCATGAGTGGTCACTTGGTGGTCTCTTTCTCCGACGTTTCGCGGGACCCTTACGATATATTCTAGATAAAGTTTTATATTATTAAGGTATTTCTGGTCCCTTGGGAACTAACTCTTTCCTCTGTGGTTTTGGATTTACCATCGTGTTTGAAGTTTTATGTAGTATTTGACATGTGCCAGGGAAATGATAGATGGAATCCACCCCATATGCAGGCATCAAGGGTAAATGGAGATTCACGTAACCTAACCCTAAGTTTAACCCTTCACAGGAGCCCTGGGTGCGACTACCTTGCCATTCCTGGCCTCTGACATTTTTCCTGGAATCTACCAAGATCCTTCTGACTTGCGATCTCATGAGCTCCTTCCCCAACACCTCACACTTGTTCCTCTCCTCTCTCCCCACCCACCCCAGCATAGACAAGGTCAAGGATTCATCTCCATACAGCACTGGGCCAAGGTTGCAGCATCGTTAAACAGTGGCTATCCAAGGCCAGTAATAGTCTGGGTCTGAAGTCATGAACATGATGCCCATAGCCTCTGTAGACTTCAACCCAGGGAGCACTAGAATTACCTCCGCAAACCACCCATGATGCTTCCATCACTTTCACTTAGACCTATGCTCAGGGCACTTCTAGCAAGATCTTTCCCAGCCGGGTCTCTACTAGTATCTCCAAGAACACACACTGCCCAACAAGCCAGATAAAGTGTCCATTGCCTGATTTGCAGGACTTTCAACACAATGTTCTACAGTTACACAAGACCTCAGGAGAGATTCTGACTGACCTTGAGTCTGCTGGGTTAATAATCCCCCATGCACAGCAGATAAGATCTTGGTACTAAAGACATCCTCCTGTCCTTACCACCTAACCCTCTATCATTCATCAAAAGTCACACTTCTAGTTGGCAGAGTAATTCACCACAAAGAAGTCAAAGTTGATTGTAGTCAGTGAACAAAATCAGCCTTCACGTTCACCCTTACTGTGTTAGAATGTGCCAACTTCTCCGTCTTCTCCTTCCTATCTTCCCATCATCAAAACATCCTGCTTGCAAAGGGCAGCTGAGGTGTAAGGATTCTGTGTTTGGGATAGAAGTCTCTGATAGATTTATGACTGGCATGCTAGGTGGCTAGGGAGTTTCTGTGCAAAGACACAGAATGCCTGGCTGCAAAGATACAGGATGCCTGGCTGCTATAGCAGTGCCCCGCTTTATGCTCTGTACTAGAGTCTTATCAGCCTCGACTTTGATCTCAAGCACACAGCTCCTGGAAATAACAAAACTCTCTTGTTAGATAACCACAATGTTTCACCAAGCTCTGCTGCACCTGAACCTGGCCACATAACAGTCACTTTAAACAATGAATTTTCTTGAGAGCTACACAATGCTCCTAACATTGCGTATTGCAACTACAGTATGTAACTGAGGAATAAGCTGCATGATGTTGCTAACTCTATAACCTACCTAATGACAATGGACAATAATGTAATACTGATGCCACTGACCTACTATAACCTATTGATATAAATTAAGCTGGTAGCTTGGCCATTCTGCCATTCTGCCATCTTTCCTGCTTCTGCATCTTGTCTCTGTGTCTCTTATTGTTTTCTTTACACTGAGGAGAAAGTGTGAGGGGAGAAAATCTGCTCTGGTCAGTGAACTAAGAAAGTCGGAGACATAACTGTGATTATTAAATGAAAACAAGATGCCTTTCATGCTTCTTCATGTCTGTGTCTTGATCATTTCTTCCTGATGAACTGCTGATACAATGCTTACATCATGGGCAGAGACTAGCTAAGGAATGACTTGAACAAAATCCAGTCTAGCTGACAGGTTCCCTTCAGTATCATCAGAAACCAGTAAGTTATATTTCCAAGAATGGATGGAATACATTTTTTGAGAGCTGAGGGAATACATTGTGATTCAAGAATTTTATAAATTAGAGGTTATTTCCTCCTCTAGACAACTACCTATCCCTGAACTTTCCCCCAAACCCTGCAGGAAGCCATCTGTGAAATGCATGAGAACCTTTTCTAGGCATGCATCTAGGGAGGGAATAGGTCTGGCATTGGGAACTTCCCATGACTCTCCCACAGAGACAGACCACCCAGTGCACGTGATCTTCCC